AATACAAGGTATTTGAATATTCTATCTATTGATATTCTATAAATGGTTTATATAGCAGTTTCTATAGCTAAAGAAGCATTTTTTTTTATTATAAAAAAAACAAATCTGAAAATAAATAGTGCTTTTATCAATTAAACATGATTTTTTTCATTTCTGGCTCATGAAGTTGATTCTGATTATATAGAAAATGGGAATAATATACACCAAGTTGAGAATATTTATTAATATTTCCAACTGCTTGTCACAATCGCTATAGATTTGTTATGCTATCGCAGTATTTTTTGACTATATGTAGATCTATTTCCCATGTTTCTATTATTTGTCCAATGGTTATAGATTTTTTATGCTATTGCAGTACTTTATCTCACCTTAAAAATATCTACAATAACACATTGTGTTAATCTTAGTGTATTTATAGATTCTTCTTCAATTTCTATATCTATTTCAACAAAATTCTCAAGTTCAATCTTGTTCAAGTCAATGCCTTCACTATCATATAGATCAATAGTTTTAATTTTGTTATTATGTAATAAGGTTTGTGCATTTTCAAGAATCATTGAGTCAATGATGAACTCCTCTTTGTAATTTTCTAAAACATCGAATTCGTTTAAGTAAGTAGATTCAAAATTAGTTATTGTTTGAATGAATTATTTTTATTGTAAACTATGCAATGATATAATTTTATTCAATAGTTTTTAGAGTAAATAATATTAATACAATTGGATTGTTTTTTAGAAAAGAAATTAAGATTTATATTTTAGCAGAAATGATAGTGTGACTATTTATAACTTTTTTTTTACAAATTTTAAAAATATTCATTTACTTACTACTTGTTTAGTTTATACAATAGGCAAAATAATATTACAATAGCAATTTGGCCAGTCTTTTGGCCTATTTTTCTAATTTTGAAACATTTTTTTAAACAAATAGATCATACCAAATAGAGTGTCCAGACTTATACGATTTCAGGGATTTTTTATTGTTCAAACAATGAAAAATCTCTGAAATCATATAAGTCTGGACACTTTTATACCAAAGCAAAAACCAAATATGTTTATTTAAATAAACCTTTTTCAAAATACTATAATGCTTATGCAATCAACTGTATCGCATTTTTATGTAACAACTTATCTGCGCATTATTTTGGGTATTTATATACATATCATTTTAGACAAAAGCTAATTTTTTGACATAGTATAATACTTATATAATTGACTGATTTACAAAGAATTCACTACATTAAAAAATTTAATACATGGCTTTAAAGATCCTACACAGAGTGCTCATTATTTCAAGACACACATGGGTATTATTTCAAAACCATTTTAAAGATATTTTAACACAAACGATTTCTTATAAATCTGATGATAAAGAGATATTAGTTTTACTAGCACTTTCAAATTTAAAGAATAAAATAATTTTTTTGTTTTAAGTTTTTATTCAATGAAATAATTTATATTTGAAGTTTTATTTAATATAACTTTTTCACTCTAATAAATGATATTCATATTTTAAAAAAATAATTATAAAACAAATCATATAAATTATATAAAGAAATAAAAATTACACAATAAATGTAAATGTGAACCAATAACAAATATAATTATGAAAATAAATGAAAAAAATAAATTATAGAAAGAAAAAAAATTCAGAAACAATAATGTATAAAGGATGTGAGCCAAAAAAAGATAGCTAATTCAAATTTATCAAACAATTTCCAATCATTAACCTGCTGCCATTGAAGCCCAAGCTGTAAAATAAAGTTTAGTGCAATGCCCCATGTTTTCAAATACTATCCCGACTGATCTGCTATAGCAATTAAAAAAAGTGAAGCCACTGTGAAAAAAAACTCAAGAAAAAAGAATATATTAATAGATATTCTTTAAATTATAAAAAAAAAAAAATTCAAAAACAATGGCACATAACAAATACAAGCTAAAAAAAAGATAGCTAATCCAAATTTATCTAACAATTTCTAATTATTAACTTACTACTATTAAAGCCCAAGCCGAAAAATGAAGTTTAATATGATATCTTATGTTTTTAAATGCTATCCTGACTGACCTGCTATGGCAATCAAAAAAAGCAAAGGCACTATGAAAAAGAAACTATTAATATTTTTAAATAAGATTCAAAAATGGCAAAACATATTATGCAATTACATAAACTTCATATAATAAGAAAAGAGAAAGAGGACAAAGAAGAGATTGAAAAAGAATTATACTATAATTCATCGTATGATTTAAATGATTTTTGGGTTCTGAGAATAATTTTTGAATGGATTAAAGAAAATTTGTTTACAAAAAAGAAACGATATAAAAGTATAATGATAATTGGCAATACGCGTTCTGGAAAAACTGCTTTATTCAGACAAGAAAAAAATATATATTAATAAGTATTCTTTAAATTATAGAAAAAAAAAAATCCAGAAACAATAGTGTATAACGGATACAAGCCAAAAAAAGATAGCTAATTTAAATTCATCTAACAATTCCTAATCATTAACCTGCTACCATTAAAGCCAAGCTGAAAAATTAGATCTAGTGTGATGCCTATGTTTTCAAATACTATTTTAACTAATCTACTATAGCAATCAAAAAAAGTAAAGGCACTATGAAAAAAAAACTCAAGAAAAAAAAATGCATTAATAGGTATTTTTTAAATTATAAAAAAAAAAAAATTTAGAATAATGGTGCATAAAGGATGCAAGCCAAAAAAGGACAACTAATCTTAAATTCATCTAACAATTCCTAATTATTAACCTGTTACTATTGAAGCCCAAGCTAAAAAATAGATTTAGTGTGATGCTTTATGCTTTCAAATACTATCCCGACTGACCTGCTATAGCAATGTACTATAAAAAAGAAACTCAAGAAAAAAGAATGCATTAATAGATATTCTTTGAGTATGCTACTTGTTCTAGTTATTATATAGATAATTATATGAAATGAGAACTATATATAAAATACAAACTACACGTCTGATCTTGCTTAGATCTGTGATTGAAGAACTTAAAAAACTTAAATACTAAAATAATAAATCTTAAAAGAAAAAAAATATATCAAATCAGTTAAAATATAAAACAGGTGCATTTTACAATATAAGTAAAAATCTCTAGCTAGTTAAGCATTATTATTGGTAAAGTAAGTTGTCACGAAACTGGTTTTTAGTAAAGTAGTTGCTGAGAAATCATTTTAGAGAAGTGAAGCTGAAGAAATTGAGCTGTTAGAAAAGTAGTTTGTTGTAATTTTGAACAGAACTATATATATTACATAGGTTAGGATACTCTGTACTTAACCAAAGATTATCTTCGAACTAGAAAAGATTAAAAATCGAGTTTTTGTAATTTAATAAAGTAATATTTGAACTATATTTTTGATTTAAAAAGCAATAGTTGGATGGTTTTACAAATTTGAGATTATCAAAGGAATAACCTTTAGCAAGGATAAAATTTTTATATAAAATTAGATGATCGACATCTAAATTATCATATTATTAATATTTAGAACCCCTGTAAAAGGACATGTCCTATAACTAATAATATTTGTTATATTTAAATTTTAATTTTATAATATTTGTTATATTTAAATTTTAATTTTAATTAAATTAAATAG